TTCCACCGTGGCCCTCACTCTCTTCCACCGTGGCCCTCACTCTCTTCCACCGTGGCCCTCACTCTGTTCCACTGTGGCCCTCACTCTCTTCCACTGTGGCCCTCACTCTGTGCCTCGCCGGCCTCCCTCTGTTCCCTGTGAGCTTACTCTTTGATATCCTAGTACCTTCACGTGCACTGTCCCCTGTGCCTGGAAGGTTTTTCTTCCCTCCCGTGAGTGGATTCTTTGAACTTTTATATCTCAACCTGAAGGTCAAACCTTTCTCTGTCCTCTTCATGTATTTAAATGCCCCAAAACTGTTTTTCTCCCTATGCATTTGTTATTCTTGTATATCACCTATCCCAAGTTGTAGTTTTATTTATATACATATATATAACTATATAGACAGAGGTACTCTATATATACCCTCTCTCTCTCTTCTCCACATATATATATACACTCTATATATTACTATATATAGTAACCACATATTCTGTCCAGTTCACTTCTCACTAGATAACAGGATATGGCACTGTGTAGTATATATTACTATATAGAGTATATACAGAGAGAGAGATACTAGTACGTATATAGATATACTATATATAATATATAGAGAGAGAGATATGTAGATATAGATGTGTGTGTGTGTGTGTGTGTGTGTGTGTGTGTGTGTGTGTGTGTGTGGTAATTTGCTATTCTCAATGAAACTGTAAGCTCCCTGACTATAAGGCCGACGTTATGTTGCTTACCATTGTGTAACTTGTACCAGGAACATAGCCTGCACTCAGTAAGGATCGGTGAGTAAATGATTGGATAGACTAGCCCAGAACAGACTACAGTGGTTGCAAGTAGAGCAGAGGAAACGAGAAAGGAACAGAATCCTGGTTGTTTGGCTCTTGGCCCACAGCAGTTTTCAGGAGACACTGATTTGTTTTCTCAGTCTCAGAGTGTGCTCTCTGAGGCTGAAAGAAGCTTTGTAAAGCTCATTATCTCACACGCCATGCTGGTGGCATCTTACAGAGATAACAGGAAAGCCCAGAAGCAAGGCTGCTGTTAGGAAGGAAAGTATAAGGTGGACGAGAGAGCCTCGCTGGGGAGACTTTTTTGTGATGTTCTCTAGCAAACTCAGCAGGAGCCAGGCTTGGGGGACTGTATCAGGGAGCCATGGGAAGAGGAGAGTCAGGACTGCAAGTGGTCCTCTTTGCAGAGGTCGGGGCCCAAGGCCCTAATTTCACCTGAGTCCTGAGTCCTTCTCCCCCTCACATTTGTTCATTTTCCACAAAGCAGAAGGGCAGGAGAGCTGAAACAGGCTGCTAATCCTTGCACCAGGGTTTTACGTCTTTCCTTTGTTCTGGTAAAGAGAAGCCTCCTGTTTTGGATGCTTAGGTGTCAGGGTTCTTTGTCCTGGATGCGGGTGAGGACTAAAAGGCAGTTTGACCCATTCGTGGGCTTGATAGGATATTGAAGAGGTTTGTGTTTGGAATGGCCCCACACTGGGTGATGAGGAAAGCCTGTTTTTCTGTAACCTTCATTCAAAAGCAAGCCCTTGTGGTCACAGTACAAGGCAATGAAGAAAAGAGTGAGGCGAGCTGCAATGTCTATCACACTAAGGGAGCATATGGAGGTTGGGTAGCGGATACGTGGCTTCTGACATGTCTGTGGCAGGCCACTTCACAACCTGGAGTCAGAGGAGGAAAAGGAGGATGCCGTGCTAGCTCAGGGAAAACGAAGCTTAGCTTAGGGAAGAAGAAGAATAGGCTAGGAAGAGAATACAAACTTTAAAATGTTAGACTGTCAGTTTCAAGCAAGCGCTCACAGGCCATCTCTTCAGAGATGAGAGTTAAGGCTCAGGGAAGGGAAGTGACTCACCTGAGGTCACACAGCAACATGGTAAGTCTTATAGTCTGAGTAAACAGAATGCTAAAGGGAGAATACAATCTATACACTGAGGCTGAATAATAAATACATCCTAAGCAATAAATACATTCCCGGGTAGACTAAATTACGCTAGTTTCTTCCTTACATAAGCAATTCCCCTCCTCTGTTCTGTAGACCCAGAAAATCTGGGACGGGTCTCAGGTATTAGTTAATTTAGAAAGTTTATTTTACCAAGATTGAGGATGTGCCTGAGACACAACCTCAGGAGGTCCTGAGTTCATGTGCCCAAGGTGGTTGGGGTACAGCTTGCTTGCTTTTATACATTTTAGGGAGACATAATACATCAACCAATACATGTAAGGTTTACTTTTTTTTTTTTTTTTTTTGAGACGGAATCTCCCTCTTTTGCTCAGGCTGGAGGGCAGTGGTGTGATCTAGGTTCACTGCAACCTCCACCTCTTGGGTTTAAGCGATTCTCCTGCCTCTGCCTCCCAAGTAGCTGGAATTACAGATGCCTGCCAACACACCCAGCTAATTTTTGTATTTTTAGTTGGCTTAGAGACTGTTGGCCAGCCCAGTCTTAAACTCCTGACCTCAAGTGATCCACTAGCCTCAGCCTCCCAAAATGCCGAGATTACAGGTGGGACCCACCACACCTGGACAGTTTACATTGGTTTGGTCCAGAAAGGTGGGACAACTCAAACTTGAGTTTGTCTGAAGACCTAGGATCAATAGAAAGGAATGTTTCAGTTGTGATAACAGGTTGTGCTATGGAGACCAAAGTTGTATCATGCAGTTGAAGCTTTCAGCTGGCAGGCTTCAGAGAGAACAGTCTGTAAAATGTTTCTTATCAGACTTTGTCTGTGCTGATGTTGTGCTGGAGAGGACAATGAGGCATGTCCGACCCCCACTTCCTTTCGTGGCCTGAACCAGTCTTTCTGATTAAATTTTAAGAGCCCTGGTTGAGGAATGAGTCTATTTAGATGGTTGGGGAGGGGGCTTAGCATTTTATTTTTGGTTTGCAGCACCCATCCCCAGTCCCTGTGGGTATCTGAGCGGCTGACTGTGTGTGACAGCCAGACTTGCCCAAAGCAGGGGCGGCAGACGAGGTGGCCAGTGCGTGCCATTCAGCCTCACCCGCTTCTGCCACTTCCCTCTCAAATCCTCTTCCTGCTAAGGAACTTTCTCAGAATTCAACTATGGAGGCCAGTCTGACCCAGCCCTCAGCAGCCAAGTGCAGGTAATGGCAGCCAGCTCTGCAGTACATTCTCTGGGATCTGGAGGGATCCCTGACCCAGGAGTTCCATCTCAACAAGCACTTTGTCTTGGGATCATAGGTTGAAGAAAACCTGTTCTTTGATTGCTGTCATATTTTGACAGACCTGGAACATGCTGATAACAAAATTTCATAGAAGAGTCTTTGGGAAATGACACGGGAAGAAAGAACAAGGAAGAGTTAAGCTACACAGGTACCCTCTGAAAAGAAAAAACAAGCCATCTGAATCACAGCAGAAACACAGCCTGGGAGAGGAAAAAGACGGGTGCTGGGCATCTGTCAAAGCCCCAGAACATCAACTGGGCAGCTTGGAAGAGAAGATCCAATGGCTTCTATGAGTCAAAACAATTGATTTCATCCCAGCTCTGCTACACCTGTGAAGCAACTCTAAAAATCTTATTTTCTCTCACTCTACTGTAGAAGATGTTGCTCAGCTTGTAAAAGAAGGTAATTAGATTCAGTGCTCTCTCATATCCATTCCAAATATATTAAGAAACATATGCTTCTAGGAACATAGAATAACACAGGAGTCAGAAGATTGCTGACCTCTCAGTCTAACCGCAAAATTTCCTCAGCAGAATTCAAAGGAACCTGCTGTTTGTGTTGTCAATAATGCTCTTGCCTACTGAAATCATTGCATCCCTTTTAATCCTAATCATCTGACGTGATATGAAAAATTGCAAAATTGAGGAGGATGAGTAGGCACCCTTTCTGTGCAGAGTAAAAGCTCTTCAAGAGGAGGAGGATGGAGGAAGGCATTTCATTCCACAAAATCAACAGTGAGTCGTTGCCGCTGCCCTACAATGGGACAGCATGGCTAGTGAGTCCTCATCCCCCAGGATTCCAAGAGCAGTTATCACCGCGTATGGCCTGGGCGTCATGACATCTAGGACTCCTGATCACTACTTTTTTTTTCCCCTCCTTGAGCTAGTAAGCCTGGTTGCCATGAGGTGCATATAAGGACTGCCACGTACTGCGTTTTACTAATGGACCAATGAGAGCAAGAGAAAAAGGCTGAGATTGAAGGTTACTCTGTCCTTCAGGAATTTTCTAAATCAAATGTTTTTGGTTTTTTTTTTTTTTTTGGCTACCTGTCATCCCCAGCAACTGTATATATTTCCAGCTGAGAGTATCTTTTTACCTAGAAGATCTCGATCTAGTGGAAGGGAAATGGTTAAGATCAGCAGTATAAGGTCTCTGCATAACACCAGGGCTTCCAGTAAGAAGCAGATGCAAGACAGAGGGAATCATGCCAGGCAGGAGCGGGGCAGGTGTATTTACGGGCAGAGGCTGCTCCTGATGACTGAGGCTTATTAAAAGGCAGCATTCCCTGGTGGACACTCACCAAGACACAGTATGTGGGGGGGAGGTGTTGGGCAACAGAAATGCCAGCAGGGCAGTGTTGAGGGTGGGGAGAGAGGATTGTCATAGGTGAAGTCCCAATAACTTCACTTGCTTCCCTGAACCATTTCTGAAGCAAGAATTAGATTAGATGATCTCTAAGATACCTTCCAGCCTTGACATTCCTTGATTCTTGTGAGAGGACTTTCTGTTCCGTTTCAGTTAAACTGGCATTGAATTGCTCTAGGTAAGTTTGAGTCAGGAAATTCTTGTTGAAACGGTGGTGTGGGAAATGGAATTGAAGTCCATCACCCCCAAGACCACTCTGAAGTCAACATATAGAAAGAAATATACAGTGTCGAAGAGAAGAACGGCATGGGGCGTGGGGAGGTCATAAATGCCTGGGAGGTCCCAGCACATTTCTGTGATAGAGTGTCAGATGAGGATGACAAATGACAACAAGGAATACTTGATGGTGGGCCTTGTCCAAAGGTGGGATGTGTAACCACAAAGCATCAGGTGACTTGGGGCTCGGGTGAAAAGGAGGACGAGAGTGAGAAGGGCAGTTAAAAGGATTTATGGGAACGCTGCATTCCTAAAAATGGCTCCAAATAAAACACAACCTTCCTCTTTACTTTTCCAGAGAGGATACGCCCTGCCCTCACCCCAGGGTATATGCTCCCTGGATTTAACACCAACCCCATCCCCAGCAAAACATACAGAGCATACACTCCTGTCATTTGCCCATAGGGAAAACACCAGATGATTTTATTTTAAGAAAAAAGTACTTCGTTTCTCTGAAGTATTTTAGAGAAAGCAAAAATGTCCAATCTCGAAAGTTGACATTCTGGAATAAGCTTCCCTTATTCTAGAACACAGGTTAGACAAAGCCTGACAGACATACTTTGCTCGCACATCTTAAGCAAAATCCACAGTCAGCATGTCTTCCCCAGAGCTCTCACTTAGGGGAGAATGTGATGGAAAACCAGGTCTCTTTACACAGTAACAGAATAGAAGATCAGAAACCAGAAATCAGAAAATGTGCCAGTCTGGGTGCTCCACGGAGCATGGTATCATTGGGCTTTAGAAAGGAAATAAATTTATTGGGAAATGCCCGTGAAGGATAAAGCGGGGCCCAGAGCAGTGGCTCACACCTGTAATCCCAGCACTTTAGGAGGCCGAGCGAGGGAGGAGGATCGTTTGAGCTCAGGGGTTTGAGTCCATCATGCACAACATAGAGAGACTCCCATCTCTAAAGAAAAAGAAAATCAGCGAGGAATGGTGGTGTGTCCCTGTAGTCCCAGCTACTTGGAAGGCTGAGGCAAGAGGGTCTCGTGAGCTCAGAAGTTTGAGGCTACAGTGAGCTACAGTGGCACTACTGCACTCTGGTGCAGGCAATTGAGCAAGTCCCTGTCTCTGGAAAAAAAAAAAAAAAAGAGGAAGGGGAGACTAAGCAAGATTGAGTAGGGAAAGTCTTCGACCATGATGTTGAAGGTTGAACCTGTGAAAAGGTTTGGAGTAAGGGTAGCCTCAGAATGCAGTGCAGAAAATTTCAGCATTGCCAGTGGGGGACCCCAGCAAAGACTGTCCTCCACCGGCAGACGCGGCCCAGCTCTAGTCCACATTATGCTCATTCACCGACTGGAAGCAGCCAGAGTGAGAGCAGTGGCTGTGGCAACCCTCCTGCAGGTTGCAAACGTGCAGCAGGTGGAGGCCGTGAGATGCTCTCCTCACCAACGTGCATGACCCATGGGACTCTCCTAGTCCACCACACGCTAGGATTTAGTACTTTTTGATGACGAGCCTCAAGGGAAAAAAAAAGTCAGCCGATATTCAAGGTAATCTCTGTGATCAGGATTCTGAAGAAAATTGAAAAATTCTGATGGTAATAAACATTCAGCAGCTCTTCAAAGAAAAAGGAATTCACATACAGGGACTGAATAACAAAACTTCAAAAGAAACCCTAAAGTAGCTACAGTCCCAGAGGGAGAGGTTTCCGACTACTTGAATACGGATGAGCTCATGATTCTTTGTCTTCTCCAAACCCTGCCTACTTAAGATCTTCTGTTGGACCCAGTCCAGTTTCTGTTGGATCCAGACACAAAGAGAAAGCAGTGAGTATAATGGGCTCAGCTAGTAACTACAACTAGTTGTTCCTCATTGTCCCAGGAGCCATCATCAGGGCTTCTTTGGGTCCCCCTTCTGACACCAGAACTATTTAAAAAAAAAAAAAAAAAAAACTTAGGTACATAAGAATCTTAAAGTTTTCTTTTGAGCAGATATCAATTTAAGAATCAGGCAGGCTCCAAATCACAAGTGTTTTGGGGCTCAGGCAAAGAGGCATGAGGAAAAGGCTTTTATAGGGTGAAAATGGAAGCAGGGCAAACAACATCTAATTGGTTACAGGGGAGTAGAAGCCTTATTCAAATCATTCCAATGGACAGTCCCTTGTTGAGTTTTGTTGGTGGTTTCTGATTGGTTAAAGTTTTCTTTTACCATTCAAACTAAGTTGGGTTTCAGTTTGTTTATGTAGAAACCAAGGGCACTGAAGCTGTCTCAGTCTAATGTGTCTTATTTAATTATTTGAACAAGAGAAATATTCTGTGTTTATATATTACAGAATTTAACATTAACATGTCAATTATTTATAACTTGATCTATAGATTAAATATTATCTCAATCAAGCTTTCAAAAACCTATGTTGTCGATATTTCCAAATGGATTCAAAAGACCTAGGATTGTCAACACAATACTGAAAAGAACAATGTTGGTGGATGATATGGTTTGGTTGTGTCCTCACCCAAATCTCATCTTGGATTTTGCTCCCATAATCCCCACATATCATGGGAGGAACCTGGTGGGAGGTAATTGAATCATGGGGGTGGGTTTTTTCTGTACTGGTCTCAGGATAATGAATAAGCCTCAGAAGATCTGATGCTTTTATAAAAGGCAGTTCCCCTGTACACGCTGACTTGTCTGTCACCATATAAGACAAAACTTTGCTCCTTTTTCAACTTCTGCCACGATTGTGAGGCCTCCCCAGCCACGTGGACCCGTAAGTCCATTAAACCTCTTTTTCTTTATAAATTACCCCATCTTGGATATTTCTTTATAGCAGTGTGAAAATGGATTAATACAGTGAACTTACACTACGTGATATCAAGACTCACTATAAAACTGCAATGATGAAGACAGTGTGGGAGTGGTGAAGCAATAAACAAATAGTTTATTGATCAAACAGATCAATAGAACAGAATGGATAACTCAGAAAAGATCAAAGCAACTGTTATTAAGGAAGCAAAGGTAATGTAATGGAGAAAGGACAGTCTTCTCAACAAATGGTTCTTGAACAAATAGATGCCCCTAAGAAAAAGAGAAAGTGGAGGAGAGGGAGAGAGGAGAAGGGAGGTGATGAAGAGGGGAAGAGAGAGAGAGAGAGAGACAGACGCCCTACGATGGGGTAGTGATTAAACAAACTGTGGTTCATCCATATCATGGAATGCTGCCCAGCAATAAGAAAGAAAGAGCTACTGATATATGCAACAACTTGGATGAATCCCCAGAAAGCTATGCTGACTGAAAAAAGCCAATCTAATAAGGTTACATACATTCCATTTATATGGCATTCCTAAAAGGACAAAATTGTAGAAATGGAGAACAAATCGCTTATACAGGGGTTAAGAAGGAGGTGGAAGTTGGGGCAAAGAGGGGCTGGCTCTGAAAGGGTAACATGAGACGTCGTCCTGATGATGGGAATGTTAGGCATCAATGTCAGTATCCTGGTTGTGACATTGCACTGTGGTTTTACAAAGGTGTTACTGTTGAGTAAAACAGAGTAAAAGATCTGGGTATCTCTGTGTATTTTTATTTTTTGCAATGATATAGGAATCTACAATTAAAACAGAAAGTGTAACTAAAACATCCTTGTCATAAAAGGATTATTGATTCTAATAGAATTAAATCTGTCAACTTTGAGAAATTAAATGGGAGGTAAGGCAAGATTTCTGACACAGCAGGAAACCAAAACTGAGTCTTAAGCATTGGGAACACGACAGGAAATTCTTACTTAAACTAAGTAATTGTCTCAGTCCACCTATGCTGCTGTAATTAAATATCTTATTTGCAACTAATAGAATTTATTACTTACAGTTTTAGGGGCTGGAAAGCCCCTGAAGATTTGTTATATTTTGAGGGCCCAGTTTCTGCTTCCAAGATAGCAACTTGTTGCTCAGCCTTCATGTGGCAGATGAGACAGGCACTGTGTCCTCACGTGGTGGAAGAGCAAGTCAGCTTCCTTCAACCTCTTTTATAACAGTGCTGTTTCCATTCATGAGGGCAGCACCCTCAAGACTTAATCACCTCCCCAAAGGCCTCACCTCTTAATCACCTCTAATCACAGTGGGGATTAGGCTTCAGCATTCGTTTTGGAAGAACACATTCCCACCATAACAGTAATTTTGAGGCTTAGAACAGAAGGGAACTTGTCAGCCCGTTCCTAGGAAAATAGTAGGCAGGGATTTTGGGAAGAGGATCTAGGTCA